GAAACATTCTCCCAGGAAGCACCCTCCCGGGGAGCACACTGGTGTGGAGCATCCCCTGGAGACACCCCACCTGGGAGCAGCCTCCTGGGGAGCGGCCCCCTGGGAGCACCTTCCTGGGGAACACCCCCCAGGAACATCTTCCTAGGGACCGGCCCCCGGTGGCACACACCTGGGGATAACCCCCGGGAGCACCCTCGCGGAGCACTCTCCCTGAGAGTGCCCCCCTGGGGAGCATCCCACCCCAGCGCCCTGTCACTGCCTGCCCGTCCTTTGCCCTCCCTCAGGGGAGGGCACGCTGGGCCCCCCCTCGGCGCAGGGCAGCACGAGCCACTGTCCGATCCGCCCCACGCCCTGTCAGCAGGGGGCGGTTCTTGTCGCTTCCAGCGAAGCAGCACAGCATCCCCGTAGACCCTCCCGCCCTCGCTCTGACTGGCCGTTCTCCACGGCTGCATCAGCGCACTTCCTTGGCTGCAGGCGGCCTTGGATCACAGCGATGGGGCACGGACCCCAACCTGCGCCCCCCCCGCTGGGGTGGCGGTGCCAGGACCCAGCGCCTTTGTGTCGTGTGGCTCCCTCCGGAGCTCGGGCACTAGCAGACTGGCCAGGGGCGTGGGGGGGGGGGCGGGTGGCGCCCACTTCTGTAAGGTCACGCGCAGACCCTTTCTGTCCGAGATGGGGGGCGAGATCACGCTCAGTCCCTGCGCTAGGGGGTGCCGGGGCAAGTGTCTAGACGCAGGGGGCCGTTCCCTGCCCGGCCCGGGGGGGGGGGCCTTAGCACGACCTGGCATGTAATGCCTCCTGGGGTTCCGTGTCGCGCCTCACAAGAAGACACTGGGGTGACCGTTGGCCACTAATCTCTTCTGAACCAGAGTCAGGTGGTCTAAACTCAAGGAACGTTCTAAAAAGAAGCCTGGCTGCCTGTCGCCCGGGGCGTTGGTCTGAGCGTGCGCTCACGTCCACCCTCCCCAGTGAAGCGCGACCTGTGTCCCTGGGGCGTGAAGGCAACAAGCTGAACCCCAAACAAACCACGAGCTCAGCCCCTGGCCGCCTCAAGCCTTTCAGTGCCAGGGGACGGGGTCCCTGTAGCGCTGGCCGAGAGCTCGGCACACACCGGGGAGTCAGGGTAGAGGGTGGAGAGGGGTGACCCCTGCACCTCTTTGCCAGGCTGCAAACTTCAGTTTGAGGGGCTGCCTGGCACCCGGGGCCCCTCCTGTCAGGCCTCAGGGTGTCTGGACTCCGTGTGACAAGGCTGGGAGCCGTGTATGTGGCCATTGCGGGCGCTGACCACACCCATCCGTGCCCCCAGGGATGTACCGATGTGGCCCAGCGTCCGTCCAGGCCATCAAGCACGGCCACGTCTGCTTCCAGTTTGACGCACCCTTCATCTTTGCAGAGGTGAGTGCAAAGCTGGGGACGGCTCTGTCTCTCAGTGTGGAGGAACCAGGTGTTGACGGCGGCTGTATCCCTGGACAGGGTACAAGTAGCAGGTGCACAGAGTTGGCTCAACATCATCTCCCTGGGTCCCACCTGCAGGCCATCAGCAGACGCCTTGTCCTAAGGGGCCTCTGGTGCCCAGGACCACCCCATTATGTTGCCCTGGGCGGTGTCCTCGTGGACATGGCCCTTCCTGGGGCTTGCAGACTCCACGCTCCTGCAGGCACGGCAGCCACTTCCTTCACTTTAGCTTAGTTCTCTATGCCACTGAAAATTAAGGGGCTAAATGAATCTCTCAACGACACATCAGTGCAGATGACCTGCATGGCTCTGTGCTGTTCCACCCGGGACGAGCCAGCGGCTCACACAGATGCTCCCAGCTGTGGTCTTTCCAAGTCCCTCCCACCCAGAGGGCGAGCAAGGGGCTTGGCACTTCCGGCTGTTAGGTGGAATTTCCCAGAAAGAAAAAGGGGAGAAAGAGATGGTTGGTGAACAGACAACTGAGAGTTGTCTGTTCCAGCCCCAAGTACTCTTAACTTAGGATACTGAATGCACTTCCAAAATGGTGTGGCCATTTTGGAAAGTGCTTTGGATTTACAATCAACAAAACAAAATTCGTATACAAACTAGTAGGTGCTAAGCAAGGTAGTCTTCTGAAGTTAAGATGGAGAGTGAAAGAGGAGTCCAGGATGCTGGTGGGGAAAGAAGAGTAGAGGCTATTGCAAATACCTAGGCGAGTGTCAAGGTGGAAGAACGATAAAACCAAATGCCCAACGTGATCTAAACTAGATTCACCTGCAGAATAGGCTAAAGCGAAGTTTGCTTGTGACTCCAATGTGACTGTAGGAAGGAACATGAGAACCCTAATGAGCTCGGGACCTTGAGGGAGGGTCTGGTGACAGAGACCGCTGATGACGGCTAATGTCTCCTCTCCTGTCCTTAGGTCAACAGTGACCTCATTTACATTACGGCTAAGAAGGACGGCACTCAAGTAGTAGAGGCGGTCGATACCGCCCACATTGGGAAGTTGATCGTGACCAAACAAATTGGAGGAGATGGTATCATGGATATCACCGAAACCTACAAATTCCAAGAAGGTAAGCTGCCCTGGAGGCTTATTTCTCTGCCCAGCGCATTCTGTCCTCACGCATTGTCCTGACCACAGCCCACGCATCATCACTCATTTCGTTTTAGGCATTTGCTTCTTTGCTTTGAGCAAAATCCCCCTCCCCTGGCTGGGGACAACCTTAGTTCAGAGTCACGTCTACCTTAAGAGAACGTAGACTTTCCTGCCTCAAGCGCATGGAGAAACCCTCCTTATCGGTGCCCTACTAGGAAACGTCAGTGACTCGCAGGGTCGTCTCAGTCACAGAACTTACAACAACAACTAGCACGTTTGCTTGGTAACATGCAGGCTCTCCACATACACATGTCCATCAGCTTGGCATGGCCAGCTGCAAGTCAGGCCAGACCACATGACTTCAGACAGAGCTGCTGAGTCCAGTTCCATGTCAGTAGCCCTGAAGCCCACTCTCGGCCTGGAGAGGGCGTGGGGTGGGGGCCAGGCAAGAGCAGGACCCAGTTTCTGCTCCCAGTCAAGCCACGGAGTCAACACGCAGAGGGTCTGGGCAGCCACTGAAGGGTCACTCAGCCCACACAGGAGACTCCCAAGAGGCAGGGCCACACAGCCAGGGAGGTGGACAGGTCCTCCGAGGTGACCCTGGGCCCACGCAGTGTGGGCTGCTGCAGCTGGACTCAGACCCTGCACAGGCCGAGTTCAGGGCGGGTACAAGATGCCCAAGGCCGGCTGGGGCAGGGGTGGGAGACCCACCGGCTCCTGGCGGGAGGGTGCAGAGGCCTCACATGCGAGCCGCCAGCCCAGGCTGGCGGGACCGGCACTCCTGTCACGAGGGGACGATAGCGAGGCGTGCTGTGCACCCGAAATACTCATCAGGATCCGGCAACCCCATACGCACTAGGAAGTGGGGCTGGTCTAACCGCCCTAAACAGTCTCTGTGCTTGCTGACAAGAAAATTCACACCCTCAAAGTGCAGGCTTGCGCGGGGTCAGAGGGCAGGGATGGGGGGTCAGAGGGCAGGGACTGGGGGTCTGACGGCAGGGGCTGGGGTCTGAGGGCCAGGACGCAGGATCGGCAGCCCCTGAACCAGTGATTTGGGGCTGTTTTCCTGAATGGCTCATTTTTTCCTTCTTTCTGCTGATGATGCGCAACAGAGTTGCAAAGATGCCTCTCTCCGCTGGGATTTTTCCAAAAACAGTTTAAAGAACCCAAAAACTGTCAGCAGAACGAGTCATGCCGCTATTAAAGCGTGGCAGGGAAAGGTTTGGCCAGGATGACAGAGGCCTGTTGTTAAAACAGCAGGGCCGAGGCGGCCGCATGTCCACCCACCGGCCGCTGACCACCACAGCGGCAGGGACCACAGGAGCCCGCTGCCCCTGGCTGGAGAGGACAGCAAGCAGCCTCCAGCTGCAGGCGGGCCCATGTGCACGGAGGCTGTGTGCACAGGAGAGGACACCGAGCCCCAGCCAGCCATGGAGCTGCAGGAGGGAGCGAGGTCCAGGGAGCCCGGAGCCCGCCGGGGAGGCCGTGGGGCGGGCCAGAGGCCCCCACTCTGGGGGGAGCCCTGCACGGCTTCAGCCGGAGGTTGTCCGGGCAGGCGGGCGCCTCTCGTGCGCTGAATTGGGGCCAGGGCGGCCGCCGATCAGGGACAGCCTCCCCCAGCCTGCGGGGTGTGGGGACCACGGTGAGGTCACCCGGGACAGCGTCACAGTCTCTCATCGTCTTTTTTGAGAAAAAGACTCAGGCTAACAGTGAGCATCGGTGCTGAGTCTGTGTCTGCACAGCAGAGCTGGTCCAGAGCTCTGGACCTGGGCTCGACGGTGCCACCATGATCGTGCTAAGACGCGTCCTGCCGCGCTGTGTGGGGGTGGCGGTGACCCCACGGGCGGACAGAGCCGCGGGTGGTCAGGGAGCAGTGTTCCAGGGCCCTCCGGAAGCTCCAAGTTGGGGGCGGGAGATCCCGCCCCAGAGGCAGGGTGTCTGGCGCCCTGAGGGCCGCGCCCCCAGCCATGTGCCCAGGGAGGGTTCGGCAGGGGCAGGCCGGCCAGGCAGCTGAGCGCCGGCCCCAGGGCGCCCTCGCAGGGCCCCGCCCAGAAGGCCGGGCCCGCCCTGTAGGACTGGCCCTCCGAGTGGGCGAGGGACGCCTGGGGGCCGAGCCCTGACCCGGCCGCATCTCCCCAGGTCAGGAGGAGGAGCGGCTGGCCCTGGAGACTGCCCTGATGTACGGGGCCAAGAAGCCCCTCAAGACGGAGCATGCGGGCCTCGCACGGACGGACGTGGACATGGACTTCCAGGTGGAGAGCGCCGTGCTGGGCAGGGACTTCATGGTCATCATCACCTTCCAGAACGGCAGCTCCCACCGCTACACCCTCTCGGCCTACCTGTCGGGCAGCGTCGTCTTCTACACTGGCGTCCCCAAGGCGGAGTTCAAGAACGAGACCTTCGAAGTCGCCCTGGAGCCACTGTCCTGTAAGCCCCGCCCACCGGCCGGCCCCGCCCACCGGCCCGGCCCCGCCCATCGGCCTGGCCCCAGGCGCAGCCGGCCGCTGACCTTCCCCCCACAGGAAGGGCATCCCGGAGGCCGCCGGAAGTAGGGCCCTGGGTCACACAGCCGGGGCCAGGGCGTGGCCGGGCAGGAGGGTCCCGGAGCCCAGGCCGGGTCAAAGTGCGGTGTGGGCGGCCACGCCCCGGCGCGAGGCCCAGACTGCCGGTCAGGAGGCCGAGGCCAGGCCCGGAGGAGGCCGCAGTGGCC